TTGAAAAAAACAACAACTTCAGATTATAATCAGCAAAGAATAAGAAAACTCGAAATAAATTCAAAATTTTCAATACAAATATTTTAGAAAAATTAAAAGTTTAACAGAATTACTGTGATCATATTATTAACATTTTTCTTCACTAAAACGTATTAGATCCATTTTATTTGTTTTGAGAAATTAAATGACAGCAACAACTTAAGACCCGTCAAGCTGTTCATTTACTCTGAATATATTTTACAAATTTGCTTTATTTCTGCTATAACTTCCACATGTAGCAATAATAATCTTGAGATAATTCGATAATGTTAAACAGGAGAACTTCCTCTCATTAGTACATTAAGAATCAAACTGGAAAATATTTATATTTGGTGCAACACATTATGGAAAATAATTCATCAATCTTTAAAAGGTCAAAATATTTACATTGGACAGCTGTTATGGATAAGTAAAACCAATGTGGTAAACTACACTACATTTACAACTAATGATCTTCTTATCCACGTGGAAGATAAGATCCACATTCTTTATAATATCAACACTCATCAACTCTTCCTCTGAACAGATACTTATTTCTATGATGTTTAGACACAATATTTCACCCCGAGAGCTTTCATTGGACACTTTACCTAAGGTAAACTTTAGTATATCTCAGTTTTATTTGGTAATGGCCATAATATTTAAAGTTCCTCTAACACTCTTTAGCTACAGATTTGTTTTGGCTAAAATCGAACAAGAAGTAAAAAAACACAATAAAGTATAAAGTAATAAAATTTTAAAACCGAGCTTTGAATGGGCACTCAAATGTCAGAAGATAATATACTGGAAACGAAATATTGGAATCAAGACTTTATATCATCTGTATGTCTTTATAATAATCTTAAAACATACAGGAAAACTGATACAATTTAGATTTGTAAAACATAGCCAACGTTCCATGAAACTATATAATTATTTATATTTCCTTTATTTATTGAATTCAACATAAGTTTGGTTCTTATTACAAGTTTCCGTGTCAACATATTCCAGTTCAACAAAGTATATTACTTCCTCTTTCCAAATAAGTCTCCCACCATACTGTTTAGTTGTTGTTCCTCGGACTCCAACAGTAGAACCTTGATACAGTCGGTGAACATGTCGTTCTTGAAGCAGTTCGATCTGAACAAAAATATTGAATGTATTTAGTAATTATATCCTAGTTCATCTTTCTTCTGCAGAACGTGAAAAATAACAGGTTTTAGTTATTCTAACAGTATAAGTAGAGGGTACATTTGTTAAAATATCGTCTTTAATATAATTATGTACGAAACATTTTCGTCATTATATTTTAATTTTCATGAAAGACTACAGAACCTTCACAGAAATAATAGAAACATATCATTTAACAGAATAAAGAAAATTGTAAAAAAAGATATATATATATATATAAATCACTGATATTAACCGCCCATTTACCGATGGAGTTAGTACTGTAGTAGTCTATAAGATTGAGCGTGTAGAGGTTCATGGTGCTTGAAATTATTCTCAATAAAACTGTATTTCACATTAATCTACCTAACCGATATCTATCCGTTTACTTCTGTTATGTTATTCAATATAAGATTTGATCTATAATAACAGAAGTTTATTGTATACTTTAAAATTAAATGTAGATCAATTCTCATTTTTCATTTTTTTTCCTTTTATGGTCACAAAACAGACACGCTAATACTATCTAATTTCAACCTTTTTTATCTCTTACGACTTTACTCTTAACTAGTTTGGGGTTGTCCAGTATTTTTTGTAATTATAGAAATTTTACACTTCCATTGGCTAAACAAGTGAGCAAACGCATAGGATGAGAATGTTCGGCGACGGGGTATCGAAATCGCAATCCTCAGAGTGCAAAACGAGTGCCCTATCCACCAGGCCATGTCAGATCCTGTTAACTTACTAACGTTCTATAATAACCAGTTCTGGTATCACCTGCAGGATTTATGAATCAGCGGAACCCTGTAAATATTATAACATTCTTCACAGATTCGATTTAGCCGAGCAAGCTTGGTACTGTCGTAAGTTCCCATACATCCTTGGTCAGTAAAACCACGTTTTTCACTTAACTGGGAAGAAGATGAGGTAGTCAGAAGCAATGCTACTAATACGATGGATGAAAGTGATAAACACATGTTTATTGTTATCTGTAAACAGACAAAATAATGTTATAGTAGGGTTTTAAAGTCTATAAACTTATGT